CACATGTGGCAGAACCAGGATTTGAATCCAAATCCATAATTCTGTTGACTGTTGTACCACATTGGTTGAACTATGGATACTTTTTGGATTAAGTCTTTCAATCATTTCCAAATTCATCTCATTGTACTATTGTCTGTCCTACATGTCCCTATCTTGTCCACAAAGATAGCTTGAGAGACTTTGTTAAATGCTTTTGAAAACCAATCATACTAAGTCTTTGGCATACCCAAATCTCCATGGCTGGTAACCCTATCGAAAAGAGAAGATGAGGTTAATCTGATACATCTGTTCGTGATGAAACTGTGTATTCTTCGTGTTCACTACTTCCCTTTCCAAATGTTCACGAACCGTCCCTTTAATAATGCATTCTTGCATTTTGCCAGGAATAGTTTGAAGTTTGAAGACTGTTTTACATTAGTGAATATGAGGACCACATTTTCCCGTTGTCTCCTATTCTTGATGATCTTTCAGAGATTGCTGACAGCAGCTCAGCAGTCAGATCTGTTAGTTCTTCTAGTAAGTTCATGTAATTTACTGGTGTCAAACTCAAATGCATATTTTGCAGGCACATATTGACTTAGAATACTCCATATTGACGTTATTTGTATTCTATTCTGTTGTTATTTATTTTGTGAAATGTTTCCCAATTGTATTTTAATCTAGTTCAGATCTCCCTGAGGAGTGTTGTGTGGTGTGTTTGACACATCTGATATGGTTAGTTCTGGCCTGGTATGTTGAACTTATTGATGGCAGATGGATGCTTTCTTACCCCCTATTAACTTATCTTGGATTTCAACTCCCTAATTTACCATTTTTGTTTGAGCCTTCCTAGTGGAAAGATCATTCTCAGTGGAGAAAACAGAAGCAAACTGAGAGTTCAGTTAGCAGGGGTCCTTTCACATTGGATCTTCTTGATCCCCTAAATAGCTTTCAAAGCCCTTTTTTTCTACTCCTTAGCATTTATCTCTAGCCCCAGCTCATTCTAAGAGCTATATTCTTGACATTCTTACAGTGATGCTTGTGACAATTTCCTTTTCCATGTAAATGAGGAGGTTGGAGTAGATGATCTCTGAGGTGCCTTCCAGCTCAGAGATGTGGATGATTTGACAATTCTGAATGGGGGTTGGCAGAGAAATAGAGGGAAGTGGAAATAGTGGGAATAGAGGGCTTGGATAGAAGTGAGAATTGAGGAGAGGTTGTGAAAGAAGGAAAAAGTTGAAAGGAAAGGGGATTTATGGTAGGAGGGAGTGAAAGGTAGAGAGAGGCAGCAGAGATAGTTTGAAATGGAAAGGGGAAAGAGAACAGGGCAGTTGTTACAGTCAGCAAATGGCTCAAATTCTGGCTCGACTACTTATTGCCTTACTTTGGTGAGGTCATTTAATCTTTGGAAGCTTTAGTTCCTTCATATGTAAGGTAAAGAGAGCAATGCCTACACTACCTATTTCATTGTTGTCCAGTCATTGTGTAAATATTAGAGTTAGGTTGCTTTGAGGATTAAATGAGGCAGCTGGTGGCACAGTGACTAGAACACTTGGCCTGAAGTCAGGAGGACTTGAGTGCAGATCTTGCCCTGAACACTTACTAGCTGTGTGGCCCTGGGTAGATCATGTAACCTCTACTTCCCTCCTCTGTAAAATAGGGATAATAATAGCACCTATCTCCTAGAGTTGTTGTGAGGATCAAATGAGCTAATAATTGTAAAGGGTTTAGCACAGTGCTTGACATATAATAGATGCTAGTTATGATTATGATTATTATATTATTAGATATGATTAAAGCACTGTGTAGACCTTTGTAAGTGCTATGTAGATGTGACCTGTTGTCATTATCTAGGGGAGGGTGCATGACTCTGGTCTCTCTGTCACTGACCCTGCTCTCTGTTTCTTGGCCTGTACCACACTAATGCTGACCATTCTCTGCCTACATCATGCTGTCCTGCTTTGTTCATGTTCTATCCCACCAACCCTGCTGCAAGAGCTGTGAGCTCTGGAGCGTAGGGGGCTTTGCAGTTTGCTGAGTGCTCTCTTGAGGACATCCCTGGGAATAGGCAGTACAGACATTTTCCTCATTTGACAGAATAGGAAACTGAGATTCATGGTGCCTTGTGCCTAGTAGGAACTTACCTTTTTTTCCCTCTCATCATTTAATAAATGTTTGCTGCACTGACGTGCCTAGTTGGAGTCACAAGCCTAGTGAAATGTTAGAGATCCCCTCCAGAGTCTCTGTTCAGTACTCCTGGTCCAGTGATTTTTCCAGTATAGCTTCTTTGTTCTCCAGCTTTGGCGGGAAGGGATTATCTGCAGTGGAAAGGCCTTGGAGCTAGTTCTTGCTTTGTTGCTAACAATTTTGGGCAGATCACTGAATTTCTTTGGCTCTTCATTTCTTCAGCTGTAAAATGGGCATAATATCTTCACTGTCTTGTCTTCCCCAAATTCACATACACCAAGTACCTTAGAACATTGTTTCAAGACTCAAATATGAGATGGAAGTGTTTGTGAAAAAATATAAACTGTCAGAGACATGTACAATTTTAAATTCTTTTTTAACAATTTGGTGCTAAATAGACCTTCAGGAAGGTAGAGAGGGAATTTATATTAGAGAGTTAGGGGAAAATAGAGTGAGAGATACCCCACTGATATTGGTTTAAAATAAGTTTTCCCTGAGCCATTTCTCTATGTTTTTTCCCCCAGACGTTAAACCGACAAGCATTTATTAAACCCAAACTATATGCCAGACACTGAATATAGATAGACAAAAATAAAACGGTCCCTATCCCCAGGAATTTCCATTGTATCTGGAGAGACAGCTTGTACACTGAGATGTCTATGTTTCCCTAATCTACTAGATTAATCTCATTTTCTCTTCTGATAGAGTTACTATGTTGGCAGATAAATCAGAAGGAAGCCCTAAAACTTAGTATACCTGGATTTTTGCAAAGCACCAGAGGAGAAGGTGGAATGATAGAGCTTTCAGCCAAAGTGTGCCAATACCCCAGGTGCAGAACCTGTGCTGACCTATGTTCATGCACGTACAAGGACCCACAAAGTAAATACAAGATAATTTAAAGAGGGGGAGGGGTGGTACTAGCTGCCAAAGGGATCAAGAAAGGTTTTGGAGAAAAGATAGGGATTCTAAGAAGCATAGATAAAGAGGAAGTGCATTCCAGGCACGGACACGGGAGGCAGACTATCATGTATGGGGAAGAATCAATCAATCAATCACCGTTTATTGAGTACCTGCTTTATGCCGGGCACTGTGCCAGGCACTGGGGATACAAAAAGAGGCAAAAGACAGTCTCTGCCCTTAAGGAGCTTAACAGTCAAGTTGGGGAGACAACACGGAAACAAATGTGTACAAAGCAAGCTACATACAGGATAAACAGGAAATAATTAACAGAGGGAAGGCGCTGGAATTAAGAGGGGTGGGGGAAGGCTTCCTGTGTAGAAAGTGGGATTTCAGTTGGGACTTACAGGAAGCTAGGGAAACCGGTAGACAGAAATGAAGAAGGAGAACATTCCAGGCATGGGTGACAGCCAGAGAAAATGCCCAGAACTGGGAGGTGAAGTGTCTTGTTCGTGAATGAAAGAGTATGTAGTGGGGAGTAAGGCATAAGAAGACTGGAAAGGCAGGGGAAGACTAGGTTATGAAGAACTTTGAATGCTAAACAGAGCATTTTGTATCGGAGCCTCGAGACAGTAGGGAGCCATGAGAGTTTACTGAGTAGGGGAGTGACATGGTTGGACCTGGGCTTAATGTAGTGGCTTAATGGAGTATGGTCAGAAGTGGGGAGCAACTTGAGGTAGCAAATGGGCCAGCTTAGCCAGATTGTAGATTGTATGCATGAAGAAGACTAATGCAGAGGAAGGCTGGAAAGGTGGATCTGTGTATGTTCTCTTAAAATTCTTTTGTTTTGATATCACTTTTATTTCCAATGTTTGTCCTTCCCTGCCTCCCCCTCCCCCCTAAAAAAATTATTCCCTTTTTCCTTCCCTACCCATTGAGACATACCTGTTAATGAAATTTGTATGCTTTCAGTTTTGCCTCTTCGCCTTCTTGGCAAGGTTGAAAAGCAGGTGTTAAGCCCTTGGAGACTTCCTTTTTTTGAGAAAGCCTGCCTTCTCATGTGACCGTCATTTAAGAGGTCAAGTGTAAGCTATGTATCTAGCTGTATGAGCGTTTGCTGCTGGCAAAACATCACAGATGAAGTGTTAGAGCTGGGGGTGATCCTAGAGGTCACCTGATTGAGCTATCTCGCTTTACAGATGTGGAAACCTAGACCCAGAGAAGTAAAGGAACTCAGCCAGGGTCACACAGCTAGTCAGTAGCAGTGCTGGGCCTGGAACCTGACTCCGGACTCTTGTCCCTTGTGCTTTCCTTTGTGCTACCCCACTACGATTGGGACTTGGTGCAGAGCGAGGGGGAGACATTCTTAGTTAAAGGACCTTTGCTGTTAATTTAGCAAAAGTGGTACGGATTTTCAACAGTGATGACAATGGTAAATGATAAATGATTAGTTTCATGGGTCATATTCCTGAAGCCAAGTGTCTGCATCAGGCATTTTGTTGCAAATGTAAGTAGAGGATTTCCAGGACCTGCTCATAGGCACTCTGCCAATTCTCTTAAGAAAGGTACCAGGACCATTGTAATTTTTTAACTATTTTACATTAACCTACATGATGGGGTCAGGCCCTAATTCCAAGTAAAATAAAATAAAACCAAGGTGCAAAATACTGCTGTGATATTCAACTGGTTTTTGGAACATTCCTGCGCGGTTTTCTTTTCAGCTAGTAAGTCTGATCACTTCCTCAGTGCTGACCGAGGCACAAGGGGGTGGTGCTTCCTGCACAGCCCCGTTTCTCCTAATTAAAGAGGGCAAAAAGAACTAAATAGCCATTTTCAGGAATTAGCAATATCTGGTTGGTTGGTTGGTTATCAACCCTAGCCTTCCTTCAGGTCTTCACTTTGTCCCTACACTCTCTTCTTCTTCATTCCACACCAAGGGTCTGACCTGTGCCCGGAGCTGAGAAATGCAGAGAAGCAGAGGACGGACACGTTCTTACCTCGGCCCCTTTGAAACGCCGTTAAGACAAGTGCTGAGGGAGGCTGGGTCAGTTCCGAATCGGCAGTGCTTGTCTTGGTTCTCAGAGGAAGACGTGATTAATGAGGTGAGAGTGGCTGGAGTAGGCTGAGGCCAGATTGTGGTGAGCCTCGACTTTATCATGGGGCAGTGAAGAGCCATTTCAAATTTTTGTGCTGGGGAATAATAATAATAATAGCTCTAATTTATTTAGTGCTTTGCAGTTTATAAAACATTTCCCTTACATCTATTATTCCCATTTTACAGATGACTTAGGAATTCTGAAAGTTTTAGTAGCTTGTCCACAGATACAGGTGTTGGAGCCTTTGTAGGGACCATTACCCCAGTGCTTGTGTCTTAAACAAGGAGGTGGAAGGATTTTTGGCTAAAAAGTGTCCTTTTTGTGGTATGTTGCCACGTCCTTGGTTTCTTCACCACCTTTGCCAGTTTGTGACCAGGAAGAGGTTGTAACAGACTCTAACAGAGTGAAACTAATAGGCCTTAAAGGCTGTCATAGTGATTATCATTACAATATTGTTGTTATTGTATACAGTGTTCTCTTGGTTCTGCTCACTTCTCTTTGCATCAGTTCATATAAGCCTTTCCAGGTTTTTCTGGAATCATCTTGCTCATCATTTCTTGTAGCACAGTAATATACCAATATAATCATACATCACAACTTGTTCAGCCATTCGCCAGTTGATGGGCATCCCCCTAATTTCCAATTCTTTGCCACCACTGAAAGAGCTACTATAAATATTTTTTGTATAGATAGCTCCTTTCTCCTTGTTTTTTTAAATGTCTTTGGGATACAAACCTAGTAGTGGTATTGCTGGGTCAAAGGGTATGTATAGTTTTACTGTCATTTGGGCATGGCTCCAAAATTGCTTTCAGAATGGTTGGGTCACTTCACAGCTCCTACAACAGTGTATTAGTGTGCCAATTTTCCCACATCCTCTCTAACATTTATTATATTCCTTTTCTGTCATATTAGCCAATCTGATAGGTGTGAGGTGGTACCTCAGAGTTGTTTTAATTTGCAATTCTCTAATCAACAGTGATTTGGAGTATTCTTTCATATGACTATAAATAGCTTTAATTTCTTCATCTGAAAACTGCCTGTTCATATCCTTTGACCATTTATCAATTAGGGAATGGCTTGCATTCTTATAAATTTGACCCAGTACTCTATATATTTGAGAAATGAGGCCTTTATCAGGCCTTTTTACTTGCTGTAAAAATTCTTTCCCAGCTTTCTGCTTTCCTTCTAATCTTAGTTGCATTGGTTTTGTTTGTGCAAAACCTTTTAAATTTAATATAATCAAAATTGTCCATTTTATACCTAGCAATGCTCTCTATCTCCTTGTTTGGTCATAAATTCTTCCCTTCTCCATAGATCTGACGGGTAAACTATTCCTTGCTCTCCTACTTTTCTTATGGTACCACCCTTTGTGTTCCTTCAGTTCCTTCAATTTCTTTTTCTTCTCTTATTGCTATAGTTAACATTTGAACAGTCTCTTGTATATCTCTTACGTCTTCCACAGTGCTTAGCCCAGAACTTGGTACATAATAGGTGCTGAATTAAAGAGGTTGGGTGATTAGGTCTAGCTCATTCCAGTAGCAGTAATGTACCCCAGTGTTCTTTGGAGTGTCAAGGAACTCTTGCTACCTTCTACTGGGAAAACCGTTTCTTCCCAGGCCTACCTGATTCTTTCTTTCTTTCCTTTTATTTTGCTTTGTGAGGTTCTGGCTTTCTTTGCGCCATAAACAATTGGAATTCAACTGCACTTCATTAACTTGCTCATCTTTAAATAATTTATGGGCACCTATTGTGTGTTATGCGCATTTAGGGGACAATGAAAAGGCCAGGACCTGTCCTCTCAAGTTTGTGCTTTGTGAGTTTCTTGAGGGTACAGGCAGATGTAGAGGTCAGGTTTGTAAAGTGTGTTTGAGGGCAAAAGTCTGGGCATCAGTCACTCCCAAGAACAGTCTGAATCAGATTAAAATGTATTTGGGAAATATTTCTAAAAATGAACAAAAATATAATAGAACATAGGTCATGTTAACACGTGGTTTTCAAAGTCTTTCTGTGGCCTCAGGGATCCTAATGTATAGTTTAGTGGCCCTCATTTCTATTTGAGTTTGACACCACTGCTCGAAGGACTCTGTTTTGGACTTTTCTTGTGTTTTTTCAGGCTTCAACCTTAGAATCGTAGACCATAGAGTTCCAGATCGGAAGAGGCTGTGAACACTGTCTAGTCCAGGAGTTGTTACCTTTTTGTTGTGTTGTTGACCCACCTTTTGGAAGTCAGTGAATTCCTCAGAATGATGTTTCTGAATGCATAAAATAAAATACATTAGGATAACAAAGGAAACAATTATATTGAGATAGTTATCCAAATAACTAAGAAAAAGAAGTTCAGAGACTCCCTGAAATCTGTCCCTGGACCTCTTTAATGGGATGCCCCAGGTGAACACCTCTGATCTAAGTCTAACCCTTTAGTTTTATAGAGGAGAAAACTGAAGCCCAGAAAGAAGTTAGTTGTCCCAGGTCACACAGCTAGTTAGTGGCAGAACTGGGATTAGAACCCACTTGTTGTGACTTGCAGAACAATGTTCTTTCTACTGTTCTAAGTTGCCTTCTTCTGCACCATTATCCCCTTTAGTGGTTGAGACCTTGGATGGAGTCTAATATGCCTGGGGCTATTTTGAATTTCAAGGTTTGAATCTAGATTTGCAGACCTCCACTCTGGTTATGTTGGTGTGAATGCCATTTTCCAGATGGTGTTTAGTCTCACACAACTACAGTGTATGTATATGTATTTGTTGATTAAAAATATTACTTGCTCTATTTTGCAGCAACATTAAAAAATATTGCAGATGTCCCTTGTTGCCAACAGGGAATCTGCCAGTGTTTTGTTTAACCCTTTATTTACCAGGCAGCGTAGTTCAGTAGATTCATTATAGGCAAAGACTTGTGATTCTAGTGCGATTAGCGTCCAGTGTAGAGGGAGGTCGAAGTAAAGCGGATTCAGGCCAGGGAGGCAGCTTTTCCAAGAGAAAAGGGCACGGCAGTCACCTTCCAGAGCCATCGAGTGTTCTTTGTGCTTCAGCAGTGATGGCTTACTCCTTGTGCCTTTTGTGAGTAGGGTTTCTTGTCTATGACCTATGGCTCGTCTCTGTAGCATTCATGGAACTGTTGGCAGCTGCTACTGGACCTCACTTCATTGTGCACCCCTAGTAAAGTCTCTTAGTGTTGCCTTTTATTTAGCTCCTTCCCAAACAGCTATTCTGGGGCCTTTGCTGTCTTCCTCCAGTGACTTCTTTGTATGTAGGCACTGATACCCAAACTCAGACTCAGTAAAATTCAGTTGAACAACTATTTAATGCCTACTATGTGCAGCGCATTTATTAGAGCTAGTGAGGTAAAGACAAAACAGGGAAGTCCTTGTTCTCCCAGAGCTTACATTTCACTTGGGGAATACAACATGTAAACAGATAAGTAGATCCAAAATAATTTGAGGAGAGAACATTAACAACTGCAGGTAATCAGGAAAGACTACATAGAAGATGTTGTGCCTGAGCTGAGTTTGAAGAGAAACTAAAGGATCTAAGGTACCAAGAGCAGGAGAGAGTGCACTTCAGGGATGGATGAATTCCTTTGTTGATGCACAGGCATCAGAAATGGAGTGTCAAACCTGGGAAATAGCTGGTAGGCCACTTGGCTGAAATATAGACCATGTGAAAGGGATGAATATGAAATAAAATGGAAATGTAGGTGGGAGTCACACTGTGGAGGGCTTCAAATGTTGGGCCAGAGTTTGTCTTTTATTTTGGAGTTCATAGGGAACCACTGAAAAGTTTTGAGAATGGTAGAGGTGTGGTCAGTTAGTGAAGAGCCTTGAGTGCGTGTCACGTGAGTATTGGTTGATGGAACTAGAGAACAGAAGATGGGGAGAGCAGAGTGAGGATGTGAAAACTGTCTTCAAGAATTTGAAGGGCTCTCTGGGGGGGAGAAGCTGGATTTGTTCAGTTTCGTACCAGTGGAGAGGTTCTAGAGCAATGGTTAGATACTGCGAAGAGGTAGATTCAGGCCCAATGTTAGGAAGACACTTCCAAACAATTAGAGTATCCAAAAGTAGAGGGGGTTGCCTTAGTAGGGAAAAAGACCATCTCTTCCTCAAGGACTGAAGGGAAGGAGAGGATAGGGCTAATGCAGAGAGGTTTTTAGGGTTATGGCAGGGGAGAAGAAGGAGCTTGAAGAAGATGACCTCTGCTTTTAAAGTAGGAGATTAGGTGGTACACATTTGTCATATATGACTTCATCTTTTTTGTATAACTTTATCCAGTAGCATTTAGCTCTTTCAGAGGAGGAGGAATTATTCAACTCCCGAGTTCTTTCAAGACTTATTTCTTATTACATTTTTTCTAGTATTCTACTTCCTAGTTTGATTAGTCTACTAACTCTTCCCTAAACATAGCACTCCATCACTCACCTCCTTTCTTTCACACAGGCTGCCCTCCATGCCAAAATGTGTTCCCTCCTCACCTCTGCCTCTTAGGATCCTTAGCTTCCTTCAGGCTCAGCTCAGGCCTCCTACAGTGAGCCTTTTTTGGACTTCCTCCTCAAGTTACTTTCTGTTGCCTCTAAAATAAGATAGACACTTCTTTATTTGCGATTTAAAGCTTTTCATTGCTTGGCCCCTTCCTACCATTCTTGTCTTCTTATACATTTCTCCTCTTCTTGCATTCTGCAGTCTAGTGATACTGGCCTGCTTGTTCTGTGCATATGTCATGCTGTCTCCTGTCTCTATTCTTTTACATTGGCTGTCCCCCTGTGCCTACCTGACTCCTTCCTTACCTCCATCTCTTGGAAGCTCTAGTTTACTTCAAGAATCAGCTCAAGCACTACCTTAGGCAGAAAACCTTTACACACTCACCCAGCTACTAATATGCTACGTGGCATATATTATTTAAATACAGATAATGCATATATATTCATGTTATCTCATAGAATATCAGTTCCATTAGAATATAAGTTCTTTGAGGACAGATACTGATTGTATTTCCTGTGCTTTAGCACAATGCCTGGCAGATAATAAGTACTAAGTAAATAGTTGTTGCTTTGTTTTTTATTTTGAACTCAGACACCAAAATCAGGGTATTTTTTACATGTAACAGAACACAAAGAGATGATTCTTTATGAAACCGAATCTCCATTTTATGTTACTTGCTTTTAAAAAAAGCATATAATAAATTCTTATGTACTACTTTCAAAAATATTCTGCTTGTCAGTACTTCCTTCTCTGCTGAGAGGCTGTCCTGATGCTGATTGTACTTGGGAAAAGGTGGGGGAGGAAGGAGGTACCTGGCTGGCTTTTTGTGCAGTTGTGGAGTGGAAGAACTCATTTACTGTAGTTTCTTATTGGATTTCTTGGACATTATTCAGTCTGGTTTAACTTTAAGATTTTGCTGGGTTAGGCATGTGGGCAGGTAGGTAGGAGGCCATCTTAGAAGGAAGCTTAAAATGCTTATTGATTGATACTTGTTAATGCTCTGATCTTCCTTAGTTTGTCCTGAGTTTACTAATCTGTGGTACATGTTATATTTCTTAGTAGAAGGCAGACTTCTTCAGGATAAAAAGGCAGATATTCAAGGGTAGAAAGACAATAGATAGTTGAAATGATCAACCAGTTCTTTTGCCTTTCATCCTTACCCATACCTCCTGTATCATTCCTACCATTTCCTTCTCTGCTCCTTTAGGTGTGTTTTCGAACCTCCTTGTCCTGTAACTTCTATTCTTGGCCAGACTTTCAGGCTGTCTGGCCTCTAGTTCTTAGTTTGTTGGATAATCATTCTTACCCCATATCCTGTGAACGTGTGTACTTTAAGACTCTACCCTGGACCTGCTTCTCTCTATACGCACACACTCTTGTTGATCTCGTCGTCTCCCCATGAACTTGCCGCCTCTTTGCAGACAGCTCCCAGATGTACGTATTCAGTCCTAGCTTCTCTTCTGAAGGTTAATGCCATATCACCTGCTGCCTGTTGGGATTTCCAGCTTAATGTAGGAATCTTAGACTCAACCTTTTTGGTCGCTCAGTTTCTCAGGAGTAATCTTCAACTTTCTCCCTATCATCATCCCTCACATTCAGTCAGTTGCTAAGTGCTGTATCAGTAGTCTTTCCACAATAGATCTTTCTCACAATATTTCCTTTGGCCCACTAGCATGGCTACTACCAGTTTTCAGGCTCATATCACCTTTCTCCTGGACTATTACAATAGCCTCCTAAATGTGCTCACTACTTCCAGGTGCTGGTCCTGCTAATCTACCCTTCACAGAGCTGCCAAATTGACATTCCTAAGGCACAGTTATGACCATGTGGGTTTCCCTGTTCAAGAAGCTCTGGTATCTCCTATTGGAGCTATGAGGATAAAATATAAACCTCTCTGTTTGCTGTTTTAAACTCTCCACACCCTGGCTATAGCCATTTCTTCAGTCTTATTGCACATTGCTTTCCTTCATTCACTGTACATTACAGTCTAGCTGGCCTATTGGCTGTTCCTCATTTATGACGTTCCTTCTTCTGGGTCTGTGCCTTTGAGCAGGTCTTCCCCTATACCTAGAGTGCATTTCCTAATCATCCCAGTCTCATAGAATCTTTAACTTCCTTCAAAGCTCAGCTGCTTCTAACTAGAAGATCATTATGATTCTTTCAAGTTGCTAGTGCCCTCCCCTAGGAAATTATTTTTCATTTTTATTTTTTGTGCATATTATTTCCCCCCCTTAGTTCCCAAGTGGAATGTAAGCTACTTGAGGGCAGGGGCTGGTTGGCTTTTTTTTGGTCTTTATAGCCTTAGTACCTAGCACAGTGCTGGCAAACAGGACATGCTTAATTAAATGTTTGTTTTACTCAGATGTTGAATCTAAGAAAAAAACCACTGGGTTATGCCTGTGAAGAACAGAAAAAAAATGGGGCTAGTGCAAGGATGACCTGAGAGAACTGAGAAAGATAAAGGAACTGAAAATCACAGTGAGGACAAAGAATAGGTGTAGTAAATAAAGAGAAAAATGGGAGGTGTGGTTGGTAAAGTTTTCTTCAGCTCCGGGAGGCAGCAGTAGTTATCGGACACAGTTCCCAAGGATTTGTGACATCTGTGAGCTTGTCTTCTCTGTTCCTTCATCAAAACTACAGACCAATTTGAGTTTGATGGCTGTGATAATTGTGCCTCATACCTACAGATGAAAGGTAACCGAGAAATGGTATATTACTGTACAAGCTCTTCTTTTGATGAGGTCATTGCAGTGATGAGTTTGGAGGACAGCTGGGTCTCTAAATGGCAGCAAGTCAGTACCTTTAAGCCTGGAGTTTATGCAGTGTCTATCACTGGCCGCTTGCCTCAAGGAATTGTTGGGGAACTGAAGAGCTGAGGCGTGGTTTACAGATCCAGAGACACAGTAATAAAGACTCAGTGAACCACCAGGGCCTCCATCCCTCCCTGCCCTTGACACCCCTATCATTGCTGAGTTTTTTGCCTGGAGAACACTCCTCATTTTGCTACCTACCTTCCATTCTTCAGCCTTTGAGAGATGTCAAAAGCAATAATGACTGACTGCAGGGACGTTGGATTCTGGGTTGTTGAAAGAGGGTTGGATTCCTAAGATTATGGAAATGTGCTGTTTATCCCATTTTGAGCACTGGACTTGGGGTTGTGTGTGGTTCAGTGGATGATAATAATAAATGTGAAGTGTTTCAGTCAGAAGAAAAAAGATGGGAGCTATGGGATGGTATGATCAGGGAGAAGGTTATTTCAGAGTTGAAGACCATGGAGGTATAGCACAGTTATAAGTGATGGTGAGACCCGTGTCTATAGGTAACTGACATGAAATGAGAGTGTAGGTCATGAAACTTGAGGATATTGACCTGGGAGGCCAGAATATTCAATGTTCATCAGTGAGTATATTGAAATCTTTCAATATGAAAATAGGGATTGGTGTAGATAGGACAGTTTTGAGCCAGGTGCTAGGCTCCTTGAGAAAGAAGGGAGATCAGTGGCAATAAAGATCTGGAACAGTGATAGAATTGGATGAGTGGACCTGGAATTGGGATCTGACAATCAAGGAGTATGCCTTCTTTTTGTCTTAGCCCAGGGTATCAGAGTATGAAAGAAGGAGCACCTAGCATTGGAGATGGGCTGTGACTTTCTGAGGTATCTGTGAGTGCCAGAAGATGGAAAGACTATGAGTTGATGAGTTTTCAGAAGGCATGAGATAATGGGCATTTAATAAATTATTGTTTAACTGAATTGAACTGGAATGTTTATTGTTAGTTGATCTACAGTTTTCTCTAAGAACTTGTGAACTGTTTTCTTGAGAACCATATGCCAGCTTCTCTCTGTAAAACAGAAAAAGTGTTACCTGTCCTCTGTTTGGGGGAGGTAAGGTCTTTGTGGTGGGCTGTAGTTATTTTATAACTATTCCTTAACTGTTCCCTTTTTCCTGTCCCCCTCCCCTTGCTTTTACCCCCATAGCTCTCTGAAGATGTAGTTAATCGCATGAAGGACCCCTCTGCATCTTCAAAGGTGCAGCAGCCATCTCCTGCATCACCACCTCCTGCTTCGACATCTACTTCACCACCTGCTGCTTCGTCACTTCATACTTCACCATCTCCTCCTTCATTTTCTCATTCTTCATCTTTTGTATTTGGCTCTCCAGAAGGCAAGTCAAAGCATCCTAGGACAGGTATGGTAGATTACTGGGAGATCCTAAGGAAATAGGGGGAAAAAAAGATGATTGAGGAGTTACCCGTTACTACTGTTGAAGAGATATTTGGGTGGCTTTTGTCTTCAGCTTTGTTGGGTATGTTTTCCCTTTTTATCACTTTGCAGAATTCTTTTTCTGTCCTTAAGCTTCCCTGGAATACAAAGGCTTGTCTTTTCAATACAGAAATTTCATTGATATTGCTATATGGCAGCAAGACATGGAAGATCACTTCCTTCAGATAATGAGATAAGAGTAATCATATAGAGGGCAATGGAAAGTATATAGTGGGTGGGAGCAGGCTGTAGGATATGACCAATGAGAAACTCTAAAAAAGAAAAGGACTAGACAGTGTTATCAACAAATTACATATTGGGAAGAGACTAGGATTGGTCATATGGCAAGAGGGAGGGATGACAAGCAGACAGCCAGAGTACTGGTACCCTTGAGATGTTTGGAGGAAATGAGGAAGGCATTCCAGGTAGACCTCCTGTGATACATTTTAGAGCAGGGCTTCTTAAACTTTTTCCACTTGTGATTGCTTCAGCAGTTCTTAAACTGTGGATCACATCCTCCCCCCTCCCCCTCCTGGTTTAAAAAGTGCTTTGAGGGCATGAATAAGAATAACAAAGAATAGGCAGATTGTGACCTGCATCATTGGAGGAAACTCTCAAATTTATGAGATCATGGGCCTTTTTTAATATTTATCACAGGATGGTATTCTTTGACTTTAAATGTATGGTAGGATCCTGCTTCTTGGTGGGGTGTAGAGAAATTTTTGTGTTAATGGTCAGAGCCTCTATGTGATTTGGCCAAACTCTTCCCTTCATTCTGTCTCAGATTCTTTCTGTAAAAAGTAGAGAAGATAACATTATTTCCATAACTGAAGGCAAATATTTGTCCCTGAGTGTTTGGAGTCTCTGTAGGGGGCGGTGCCAATACATTTGGTTGTTGTTTTTATCACTAGAATGCCTTTGCCTGGCACCATCCCCTAGTTCTAGTGTTCAAAGTCCAACTGCCATAAAGTCACAGTTCTTTCCCAGGCTTCTGTGAATGAATTATTTTCCCTTTATATTTTATTGCCATCAGCAGATACTCTGAAAGTAGCAAAATGTTAGGAGTGGAAAGAGACCTTGGAGATTACTTAGTCCAACCCCTACTGAGATCCAGAGTGGGGATTGCTGATAGACCTCTAGGACTAGAACCTGTGTGTTTTGATTACTCAGTCAGTATTTTTTCCACTGCATACTGCATTATATTTCAGTTTCGTTCAATACTCCTTGTTTCTTTGGACTTTAGTTGATCTGGATTGGGTCTTTATGGCTACTTGGCCCCTTTCTGAATTCTCTCCAAAACGCACATAGAGTTATGTGAGCTTTTCTCAAGTCTTGTATATTAATAAGAAGCAAGAGACAAGGCCAAAGAAAAGCATCCAATCTGATCTGTCATTTTACAGAGGCCCTAATAGGCCAAATGACTTGCCCAAGGCCACCAGCTAACATATAGCAAAGCCAGTATTGATAACCCAGTTTATGGAAATTCAGGTTTTACTTCAGGCTAGATATACCCAAAAGCTGTTGTTTTTGATTGTCTGGTAGAGCAGCTCTACTTCAGAAGGGAAGCCCCTTGCCCAGTGAGTGACTACTAGAGGTCAAGTCAATTGTTCCCCTACCACTCTGTCAACTGTAATAGAGCACATGTCACGTGCTACCTTGTATTGTAATTATCTTTGCACATGCCTTGTTTCTTCTACTTGATGTGATGTTCCTTGAGGGCAGAGATTGTATTTGGTACATATTCATAATTCCTGTAATATTTTGGGAAGTTTGCTTAGAGACTATATTAAATCATGGGTACCTGGCATCCAGCAGCCTAGGGAGAATCCACCAGACACATATTTAGTGACTGCTGTGTGCAGTGACCTGTCCTAGTCTCTGTAGGATCTACAAAGATACCTAAGACATAATCCCTATAAGCGTACTAATAGCTGACATGCATATTAAGGTTCGCATATGTTATTTGATCCTCATAACAACCCTATGCAGTATATGCTTGGCAACCATCATAATAATAACTTGCATTTATATAAACCTTTCAGTTTTACAAAGTGTTTTCTTTATCCATGAAGTAAGTAATGCAAGTCTTATTTTCTCCATTATATGGATATGAAAATTGGGACTCAGGGTTAGTGAGTTGCCAGTCTTCACACAGCTAGTGTGAAGCCATGAGTCAAACCTACGTTTCCTAATTCGGGGCTTCTTCCGCTACACCATGGCTGCCTCTCCCAGAGAGACCTACATTTGTTTACTTAATCTCAGAACTCTAGAATAATAGTTACCCCTCCAAACTGGAAAGAGACAAATAAAAGACAATTGCCAGGGACCCATATTTACTAGTTGTACCTTTTGTAGAAATAGGAAGGATTTTGTTCAGTTGGCAAATTTAGCAGCTTAAAGAGTAATGATTCATTTATTTTGTTATTATTTATTCAATTTTAATTGTTACAAAATATTTTGCTTTTTTATTGAATGGGTGTGGATTTTAGTCATAGCTTCTTAATAGAATTTGTGAAGGAAAAATGCTGTATATAAATTTATTTTTTGAAATTGACTAAAGAATTTAATATATTGATTTCAAAGTTAAAGCAATTTTGGTGTTTCCTTAATCAGTTAATCTTTCATTTTATGAATAGAAATGAAAACCATTTCTGCTGAATTAAAAGCCAGTACAGTTTATTTCACGTAAAGTTGGAAACCTAGCAATATTGCTATAGAGAGTCTTTTAAGGTTTTTCCTCCTCTCAGTTAAGGGCATGGCAACCTAGTTTACTGCCTGGGAAAGCTGATTTGAGAATGGAAGTTAGAAGATGATTAATTCTGGAAGGAGATGCCCGGAAGGTTGAATATTCAAGTTGACAAATTCATTATTCCTTAGAGGATAAAAGGCAAAGTCAAATACTGTCTTACCCTTATAGAAGACCAAAGGTATAATACTTATACCTTTGGAATGATTCTTGTCATTCTAGTTGTTGAGCATCAAGAAAGCCTTAATGTCCCTGAAGGAGGGCAGTTAATGTGGTCAGGTAGGGGGGAGATTGCCTTATGAAGACAGACTGAAAAAAAAAAATTAGGACTTCAGTTTGGGAAGCCATGAGCTTGAGAAGGAAAAATAATTAAAGTCCAAGGACTATAAGAGAGACAACAAAGGTGGGACATAATAATAACTCATATTACTGTGTTCTTCCACAATAATCTTGTGAGTTACATAGTACAAGTATTATTATCCTCATTTTATAGATGAGGAAATTAAGACCTACTGAGATTACTAAGACATGGTCACAGAATTTGTATGTGTATCAAAGCCAGTTTCAAATCCAGTTCTCTTTGATTCCAGCTTCAGGGTTTTTCTTATCTTATAGCAGCTGCCTTTTCCGGGATAAACATAGATTTATTTACTCAATCTCAGAACTCTAGAGTGAGATGCAACCTCTTAAAACAACAAAGAGATAAATTAAAAAGACTATGCTGCATTTTATATAGACAGGAGTAAATTTATGGAACTCAGTTCCCTCAAGAGGTGGGGCAACCTAAAAATATGAGTAGGTTCAAGAAGGGTCTAGATAAAGTCATGATAATAAATCAGTAATGGGCCATTCTAAGGAAACTAGAGTATTTACAGTACAGCCTTAATATTTGAAGTTTTCATTATGGTGGATAGGCCTTTCCTAACTCATCAGTTGGTGTCCTGGTCAGAAATAAATACTTGGTCAGGTGAATCAAGGGACTAATCTAGATGGATATTGTTGTGTTTATACATACATATGCGCATATATATATATATATATATATATATACACACACACACACACACACATATACATATATGTATGTGTATATGTGTAAATATATACATATATATATATATATATATATGGAGATATATATATTTTTCTTTTCTTAGGTTCTTGGGCTTTGCACAGTAAAAGACTCAGATTTCATAGCAAGTTGGAGACATGATAATGACTTTGGAATGTCTGGCTATAGAGATTATTGTACTTGTTGGCAAACCATAATATGGTAGAAGGGAAGTCATTGGATAGGAGAATGAGAGGTAGGTGGTTTAGGGAAATTTAAGTTTTCAGTCTCCCTTTCAAGAACTTCCTGAGATGGTTAATGTACCGCTGTGTGTCTTTTATTAGTTTGCCTTCTTCCCTTTGATAATTGATCATTTGTGTTCTACCTCTTATAGACCCTAAACCCCCCAAAGCTGAGAGCCAGAGTAGCCAGCAGCCCTCTGAAGCAGAAGAGGATCTGTACAGGAGGTAAGGGCACGTAAACCCTTTCTGTCCTCAGTCCAGTTCTCTGGGGGTCATTGATAGCAATCAGTTTTTTAATCCCTTTTCCTCTTAGCCTGTTGGTTCTCATACCTTGCCAAATCCCTGTCCTGGATTACTTCTACCATCTTCCATCTACCCTTACTGCTACTGAATAGAGATGAGGGAATACAAGGAAACATGTTGACTGGGGACACCATCAATTCGTTGTCTAACTGGGCCCTCACTGTAGTAAAGCAGTTCTTTTTACTCTTCTCTGATTTTGTTGTTGTTGTTGTTTTATTTTTTTGAAACTTGGTCTCCTTGTCTTTCCCAGGCTGGGAGTGCAGGGGCCACTCATGGGCCCCATCCCCATTGCACAGAAGCTTTGACCTGCTCCATTTCTGACCTGAGCCAACTAGCTCCTCCTTTGGCAATCTGGTATCTCCCTGCTCTCAGGGGCTCACCATCTTTGTGCTAGACTAGTGTAGATACCCAGTCAGCTTTAGTGCTACTGCAGTTCAGAAATCCTGAACTTGAATGCTGTTGGTGTCAGCCTCCCAGAGCAGGAGATTACAGGCACATACCACTACTCTTACCTATTCTCCCCTTATTGATTGCCTGTCTCACTTCCCTTACAAAGTATCCCAATCCCCCTCTCTCCTCATGCCTCTAACACTTCTCTCTGTGCTCCCATACTGTCAGCTAAGTTATATTACCTCTTGTTTTACAGAAAAAAAAATGAGGCTTTTTAACATAAGCTCGCTTTTCTTACCTTCTCTTTGTCTCAGAATCTCTTAGTATCATCACCCATTTTCTTCCTCTTTCCCCAGTCCCTGGTGAAGGGCTGGTCCTTCTCCAAAGCCACCTTCTCAGCACGTGCTCTTGTTCCCATCTCCTCCTGTCTTTTCCAGTAGAATGCTCCCTCAGTTGTCCCCTCGGTCTCTAATCTTCAAGTTTTTCCTAGCTACTGAATTTTTACTTACTGCTTTCATATGTACCCATGTGTCTACCATCCTTAAAAAAACTTTCACTAGAACCTATCCCCTCAAGCTCTCTTCTCCTTCTCAGCTGTCTGCACTCTTTGCCTTCACTTCATCTTCTCTCTCTTATTTCTCATCCCTTTGTGGTCTGGCTTTGGACCTTATTACTCAACTGAAATTGCTTTCTCTGAAGTTAACAAGATCTCTTAGTTTCCTTTTCTTAGTCCTCATCCCACTTGACTTCTCTGCTGCATTTGACACTGTCTACCACCTTTTCCTCTTGGATACACTTTCCTTTCTGGGCTTTTATGACACTGTTTTCTCCTGGTTCTCCTCCTACTTACCTGACCACTCCTTTTGAGTCTCTCTGGTGGTTCATCACCCATATCATACCCTCTAATTGTGAATGTTCCTCAAGGCTTTGTCCTGGGTCTTCTCACAACACTCTATTGGTGACCTAATCAATTTTCATAGGTTTAATTATCACCTCTATACAAATGATTCACAGATCTATATATCCATCTAGTCTTTCCTCTAAACTTTCATCCATTTATTGCCGGTTTCCTATTGGCCATTGGCCAACTATTATCTCAGAGACATTTAAAATTCATCATGTCCAAAACAGAATTTATCTTTCACCCAAAACGCATCCCTCTTTCATACTTGATTGTTTCTGTCGTCATTGTTCTTCCAGTTTTCTCAGGCTTAGAATCTCAGTATCGCTCTCACTCATCCCACGTATTTACCAGTTGCCAAAACTTTCAGTTCCTGCCTTCACCTCTCTCATCTGTAACCCCGTCTCTGTAGGCACACAGCTACCTCCTCAATTCAGGCCCTTATCACTTGGTGTCTAGATTATTACAATAGCTTCCTAATTGATTGTCCATCCTCAGGTGTCTTCCCACTACAGTCCATTTTCCACATGGCTGTCAAAGGGATTTTCCTTTAGCACAGGTCTCATTGTGTCATTCCCCCACTCACTAGTCTATAGGGCCTCCCTGTTATCTCTAAGATAAAATAAAATAAATAAATATTTATAAATAGATAAATAAATAAAACTCAATTGTTTAGGTTTCAAAGACCTTTACAAACTTGTCCAACTGATTTTTCTAGCCTCATTGTACATTACTCCCCTTCCCACTGTAGGTAAAGGTCCAGGAAAACTGGCCTTCTCTCTGTTTACAAAAAAAAAAATTGAGGCCTTTTAACCTAAGCTCGCTCTTCCTGGCTTCTCTTCATCTCATAATTTCTTGGTATAATCACATGACACAGCAATTTCTTTTCTGTGTCTTTGTACTGGTCATCCCCCTATGCCTCAAAGGCATTCCCTCCCCACCTCTACTTCACAGAATCCTTCTCTTTGTTCAGGACCCATCTCAAGCATCACCTGCTACATGAAGCCTTTCTGATGCACCTCCCCTCCAAACTACCCTGTATTTAGGTACCTTGCATTTATTTGCATTTATTCTCTATATACTTATATATGTACTTGTCTTCCCCATTAGAATTTAAGCTTCCCGAGAATAGGTTTTGTTTTACTTTTGTCTTTGTGTTCCCAGTGTCTTATACATGGTAGGTGCTTAATAAATTTTTGTTGGTTGATGGTACTTCTCTTCCTTTGGAGGGTATTCTCTTTCTCTGGAGACCTGGCTTTCTTCCAAGGGTAGCTATATCCTAAGCCTTCATTTCTTCTCCCTCGTGAGGGAAATCTTTATATGGGGCTTTGGCTAGGACTGACAGCATTTCTTTCACTCTGGGAGCTTGCCTTTGCCAGAGGACAGTTTTCATGTGGGGTAGAAAAAATGGATTATTTAAAGAAATAGAAAAAAAATTATTTTTAGGGAAAACTAAGAGTCAAACATTTATACACAAGTAATCACCATTGTAATGACCTTTTAAAGTGGCCTGGTGCTCTCTAGAAGGTTAGGTAGGGACAGTGTCTAAATGTCTTTGTAGTAGTAATTGGGGAAGAATAAAAGGGAAGAAGCTGGGACCCTATCATGCCCAAATGTAAAAACCCTTACACTATGCCTTCTAACTGGCTGAATCAAACCTGGCCTCTGCTGCCTTATTAGCCTAAGGATGTTGATGATTCTTAACAAGAAATCTCTGATTGATCCTTTGATTTGGAGGCTCATTTTCCTTCTGCATGGCCTTTAAGAAGACTAGCTAACTAATGAGAGCAATTATCCTAGGGTAGGAACCAGGTCCAAGGGTTTAATCCCTGTGTTAGGTGATGTACTTTCTCTGAACTAAGGACTATATCTCTTAACCCTGGTCCTCCCCAGCCCATCATTAATAGGAATAGTCTGCATGCATCCTGAATTTGAATAGTCAAGGTTTTGAGTAAAGGTGCTGATGGCATCTGAAACATTCGAGTTCTCATATTCCAATACTCAGGGAAGTAGTACCGAGGGGAAAGATTGGAGCCTTCAATCTTTGAAGCCTATCTGGCTTTAGTGCTGCTCTCTGACTCTTGTACATTTGAAATTCTCAGATTCTTGCATTGGTATATTTATATTTTCTCATGTAATATGCACAATTGGCTTTTCCTCCTGGAGCATGTAATGTCATAAATGCTGGTATGTGGATGGGCCTTTTTCTTGAGTGCCATTTTTAATATTTCCAACACTAGAGGATAAGGGTATCAGAGTGGAATCGGGTGAGTTTTCTACTCATTGGTTTAAAGACAACTAACTAATGGAACAGAACTGCCCTCCAGAGCCAAATAGTCCCTTAATCATTCCACCCTTTTAGAACCTTGCTTCAGGCTATAGGTCTTCTTCCATGTTGCAGAATTCTATTGCCAGACAAATCCCATCCCCACCTTGCTAGCTATGGCAGTATGCACAGTGCCTGGCTGAATCCTGCCAGTCATAGCCTGTGCATCTGTGTCTACCCACCATTCTCTCTTGGCACAGATATGAACAGGAGAAGGCCATGATCCAAGAAGAGCTACTTCAGCTGGTGAAGAGAGAAAGGGAGGTGGCCAGGGAGCACCTGAAGTCATCCCTTCCGTGGGAGAAGAAGGGCATGAACCAGGAGAAGCAGAGATCAGCTCAGCTGGTGAGTGCTGATTTTCTAGTATTCTCTCTGTGGGTTTATATGGTCTGTTGAGAAGCCTAATCTTGGCCCCAGAAGCCTCATTTGCTCTAAGAGATTCTTAAGTTTTCTATATTTTGTCTATTGTAATCAGCTCCTACCTAGGGAAGGAGTACTGAATGAGGAGATTGTCTAATTCTAGTCCTGCCGCTAACTAGCTATGGGGCTTGGGGTCAGGGACTTCACAGAATCATAGAATTTTAGAGTCGGAAGCAGCCTTAGAGATCTGGTGAGAAATAACAGATGAGAAATATGAGGCCCAGAGAAATGAAATGACGGCATAGAGTTATGCAACGAGTCAATGACAGAGAATCAGGACAAGAATCATGGTCTCTTTTCATCCAGCACGCAACCTGCTCTGTCCTCTCTGTACCTTGGTCTCCTTACTTGTAAAATGAAGTGATTAGGCTCGATCTCTCAGCTCATTCACATGTCCTTCTAGCCCTGATATCCTGTAATTCTAAGATGCAGCTGTAGTATAGTGGAAAGAGCACTGGACAAAGAGTCAGCTATAGGATCAATTCCTGGCTCTTTGGCTTATTAGTAGCAGAATGGATAAGTTACTTCATCTCCCTGCCCTACAGCTCTTCATCTGCACAAATGAGTAGGTTAGACCAGATGATCTCTACCGTGCCTTTCACTTCTGTCATTTAGCAATTCTATAATTTCAGGTGACTGATACCAAGATTTTTAGAAGAGTGAACTGTGGTATGTGGGCAATTGTCAACTGAAACAAATTTCCACGTTGGCTATGTCAAAAAAAAATCATCTCATTTTGTATTAAGTCCATCTCTATATCAGGAGGTGGGTAAAGAAAGTGAAAAAAGCGTGCTTCAGTCTGCACTTAGAGTTTACCAGTTCTCTCCCTGGAGGTGGATAGCATTTTTCATCATGAGTTCTTTGGAATTGTCTTGGATCATTGTATTGATTAGAATAGTTGTCTTTCACAGTTGATCAATCATTACGATATTGTTGTTACTATGTCTACTGTTCTGGTTCTTCTCACTTCACTTTCCATCTAAAGTTCGTATAAAAGTTCATATAAAAAGTCTTCCCAGGTTTTTTCTGAAATCGACCTGCTTGTCATTTTTTTTTTTTAACCTCCTCACTTTACTTTTCTTTTTTCTTTTTTTTAATATAAATTTGTTTATTTTCAGTTTTCAATATTTACTTCCACAAGATTTTGAGTTCCAAATTTTCACCCCATCTCATCCCTCCCCTCACCCCAAGATGGCATGCATTCTGAATATATCTTCCCCTAGTCTGTACTTTTTTCTGTCTCTTCCCCCCTTCTCTTATCCCCTTTCCCTTCTATTTTCCTGTAGGGCAGGACCTACTTCTGTACCCCATTTCCTGTATTTCTTATTTCCCAGTCTGCTTGTCATTTCTTATAGCACAATAGTATTCCATCACAATCATATACCACAACTTGTTCTGCCATTCCCCAGTTGATGGGCATCCCTTTAATTTCCAATTCTTTGCTACCACTAAAAGAACTACTATAAATATTTTTGTACATATAGGTCTTTTTCCTTTTTCTTTGACATACAGACATAGTAGTGATATTTCAGGGGTAAAGGGTATGCACAGTCTTATAGCCCTTTGGGAATAGTTCCCAAGTATTCTCCAGAATGGTTTGAACCAGTTCACAACTCCAGTAATAGTGCATTAGTGTCCCAATTTTTCCACATCCCCTCCAGCATTTGTATTTTTCTTTTACATCATGTTAGCCAATCTGATAGATATGAGATGGTACCTCAGAGTTGTTTTACTTTGCATTTCTCTAATGAGTGGTGATTTAGAGCATTTTTATGTGACTATTGATAACTTTGATTTCTTCATCTGAAAACTGCCTGTTCATATCCTTTGACCATTTATAAATTGGGGAATGTCTCTTCTTTTTTATAAATTTGGCTCAGTTCCCTATATATTTGAGAAATGAAGTCTTTTCAGAGAAATTTGCTATAAAGTTTTTCCCTGATTCTGTTTTCTTTCTAATTTTGGCTATATTAGTTTTGTTCATGCAAAAACTTTTAAACTTCATGTAATCAGAATTATCCATTTTTCTTCCCCTGATCCTCTCTCTTTTGTTTAGTCATAAACTCTTCCTCATCCAAAGATCTGACAGGTAAATTTTTCCATGCTTCCCTAATTTGTTCATGGTATCACCATTTATGTCCAAATTATGTGCACATTTTGACTGTATCTTGGTATATGGCACAAAATGTTGGTCTATATTAGTTTCTGCCAAATTGCTTTCCAGTTTTTCCAGCAATTTTGCTCATATGGTAAGTTCTTGCCCCCAAAGCTTGGATCTTTGGGTTTATCAAACATTAGATTACTATGGTAATTTACTACTGTGTATTGTATACCTAATCTATCCCATTGATCCTAGGTGGTTTTCTTTTAATATTTCTTAAAAAAATAATGTCTGGGGGGGAAGGGGTGTAAAAAATATAAGGTCTAGGCTCTTTTTCTAGACATAGTACTCAGATATTCCAGTTGTGTGGGATGCCACTCAAATTAAAAAAAACACACACACAGAGGTATCCAAGGAGAAACAGAGAGTTAATTTATTGTTATTATTATATCAAACCTCGAGATTTGGGTGTCCCTCCACCAGAATACTCTGATGAAAGGAGACACAGACAGAAGCAAAGGACCTGATTAAATACCCTAATGGGCAAATTCCCCCCTCCCACCAACTGGCCAATATTTGGCTCACATTCTCAATGTCCATAGAAACTGAAAACAAAACAATGAACACAATATACATATCTATATTTCTTAGTTTGCTGAAGTAATACCAAAGAAGCAATTAAAGATGTGCAGTCAGGCTAGACACTGTACTGTATAGCCAGGTCACCATGACTGAAATATAGCAACAGGTGCATCAACAAAATACAGGGGGGCTTCTTCAGGAGTTTCAGGCTTGGCAAATTTTAACTACTTAACAATGGCGTGGGGGGGTACTTGGGGTTGAATTCCCGTAAATCAGGTGATTTCTAGTAAATCGAAACTTAGTCCTGTCAGGCTGCTGTGCCTGCCTTGAGTCTAATACAATTTCTGTTTATTCTTCTAAGAAGTTTTCACGGGACCCTCATCCCACTCAGCCTTATCCCAAACCTTAATTACACAGAGGATTCTTCACTTTGACATCCCATTCACAGTGATGCTTAAATTTTTTTGTCTTCAGGCTGTTTTCCAGTTCATTTGTTTTTGCTATAAGATACATTACATTTTCTCTATTTTTTCAGCCTTTTGCCTTTGTTTTAATATTTTTTTGTTTCTTTTTGGAATCATTGGCTTCCATTTGGTCTGTTCTGATTTTCAGTGAGTCTTTTGCCTGGGCAAGGGTTTGTACCTCTTGTGCCAAGCTGTTAATTTCCTTTCTCTTTCTTTCTTCCATAGTTCTCATTTCCTTTCAGTTTTTTTTTCCTCAAGCACTCTCACTTCATTTACCAAAAAATATTTTAAACTCTTTTTTAAAACTCTTGCTTCATCTCTTCCAGGAATTCTAGTTGGGTTTGTGCTCAAGTTATGTTTTTCTTCAAGGCAATGCTTGTAGATATTTTGGAGCCATTCTTTTCTGTGTTTGTTTCTTGAGTGTCCCTGCCACCATAATTTATTATGGTGGGATTCTTTTTTGTTTGTTTGTTTGTTTCTTCATTTTACTGGTGTACTTTCTGATTTCAGACTTGATGTTAGGTCTGGGCTCTGGCATACTTCTGAAGGGAAGGTTTGGGCTAGTCTGTTGCTGCTTTCTTGGGTATTGAGTGTTGTGTTATTCCAGGATCTCAGAGACCATCTAGGGGACCTGCAAGGTTTCAGTGCTCCCAGAGTGATCTAATCTGTGGCAAAATCTGGTAGCTGCCCCCATGTTCTGAACTCTGCAAGTTCTTGACCTGGGTTTGGGTCTGAGTAAGAGTAGATGCTGCTGGACCTAGCCCCTATTAGCCAGCTGCAAAGCTCTGCTAGTTCAGAGAGGCAGAATTCTAGGCTACCCTTTGGCCTGAGAATTCCATAGGTGCTTTAAGTGAGATTCTGCTCTGCACCTAAGGCTAAACCATGCTATTGCTGTTGCTGCTGCCTTCTCAGTGTCCTTTATCTATACACTGCAGGGCATTCTAACCGGGAAGGGGGATGACCTGTGCTCTCTCCTGTGCATGTCCCCTTCTCAGTCTGCCCTGGATCTGTGACACAGAACTGTGACACAGTGGGCCACAAACCTGGCAATTGGCACCTGCCCCTGTGGGGTTGATTTGAGTCTGGGACCTCCTTTTGCCCTGGCACACAGCCTGTCCTTGGGCACTCTGTACTCTGCACAGCGTGCTTCTCCTGGTTCGCCCGTCCTCAGTATCCCCACACCTCCCTGTCTGCCTTCTCATACCAAGGTGAGTTGGAGAAATAACTTGTGACTTTCTGGATTTCCCCATCAGAGTTTGGTTGAGTGCATTTTTTTCTAGATCTGTTTGGAGGAATTTATGGAAGGAAGTTCCCTGCCCTGCTTTCTGCAACTCTGCCATTGTGACTCCGCCTCTCCCACGTGACAACCCTTAAAAAACCTGATGAGTCACCTTATCTCCATATACTCCTTCCTGTACCTCCAAGCCTTTTTTTAGGCTAAGCTTTCCTGCTTCCTCTATACTCTTCTCATATAGCTTGATCTCTGGTTCCTTCGCTTCCCTCTTTACTCTTCTGAATATTCTCTAGCTTGCCTTGCCAGTGTCTTTAAACTGTGGTACCTCTAGATGGGATCTGGCCAGGACTGGGCACAGAGAGACTGTGAGTTCCTTATTCCTCAAAGCTGTGCCTCTCTGGATGTAGCCCACGGTGGTCTTAGTTTTGTTGGCAGTCACATTCAGTTACGGAGCTTGCAGGCCACTACACCCTCCCCCGCCAAGCTCTTTTTCAGACAAATAACCCTACCTTTCTCATCTGATACTTGTGAAGTTGATTTTTTG